CATCCGAAAGCGCTTCAGAAAACTTTTTAAGAGAAGCATAGGCGGCGGATCGGTTGGAAAACAGAACATGGTTGGCCGGGGAAAGGTTAATGGCTTCCGTGAAGTGGCTCACGGCTTCTGTGAAGTTGCCGGCGGAAAACGCCGCGTTGCCTTTCGCTTTAGCTTCGTCGGCCATCAAATTTTGCTATTTGTTATTGAATAATGATTTATGCGATTGTTTTTTGACTCTCCGAGGAAGACAACAATTGGTTGCAAAAATATGGATAAGAGGCCAAGAGGTTTTATAAGGGTTGGTAGGAGATGATAGACCGGAGAGTTCTACCTGGGTAGACGTTCTGGAATGTTCGAGGATATAACACATGGGGTATTTTTTAGGGCAAATTGCAGTACCATCCCAAACCTTTGGAGGTTATTCAAGATGTACACAATTAATGCCCGTTTGATTCTCATTATTATAAAATGATAATGAAAAATATATTCGTTAATTAATGCCATTTTGATTCTCTTTCATAATAAATTTTGAAATTTAGTCCCCGTTTCATAAAATTTATTTCGGAATAATGAGTTAAGGGATATTATTTTTTGAAAAATATCGGTTAAAAGGTAAGGAAATTTTATTGGTTCGTGTAAAATATTTTATTGTGTGAATGTGTGGTGAATAAATGATATTGTAGCAAATAATTTAATTTTTTAAAAATGACAAACAGGGCCTTAGTAGGTAACAAAAGATATTACCCTAAAATATATTAAAATTTCATGAATAAAGGCACAACTGAATTTCCAAAGTGCACATACACATTTTCTTGACCGACATTGTCCTCTTTCACTAAAAAAACGCATAACTCGCTTCGCACGCACTCAATCGACGTGATTCCGATTCTCAAAGTTAGAAAACTCATCAGACTATCCAATCCAATTGGTTTCATCCCAAAATTCAGAACACACATCCCAAATAGGTTGTTCATAATTGAACCTGCATGCACGAACTGATTTATGCTAAGATCATTAAATACGTCATATAACATAAAATTAAGGATATTGCTATTTGTACTTTAAAAAAATGTACATAATGAATTACATAATATGATATGGAGGACAAAGATTGGATGAAATAGTTAATTGTATTTTAAACTTACAAATGTTAGAGTGCCATGTAATCCATTATTTAAATTTTGATGTACATGTAGTATCATCCTAAAATTAATCAAAACTCAAATTTCTTTCTTTAAACCTCTAACATTCCATGGTTCATCACCTCCGCCAACATACCTCCATCCAAGAGTAAAAAATAATCAATAGAAATTCATTAATTCTATGTGCAACCCAAAATTAAAGCTGAAATTAATGCAAAACGATCATATCATACTTATTATTCCGGTGATGTCAAGGGTTTGATGACTCTAATTCTTTCTTCTTATGTTCGAGCATGAAAGCTTAAACAAAATTCCATATTTCTTGTATAGCCAAGTTGGTTATACTTCTTTCTAGTCTGAATGGCTACAAAATATTCTTCTAGAATGAAATATTTCACAAAAATTCACCACTATAAGAAGGGATTTATTCTATGGATTAGTTTGATGTCCTTCGAGTAATATTTTGTAAAATCACATTATGAATTAATATTCATAAATTTGCGTGTTGTAATTAAAACAATTATCTAGGATTCCATGATCATATAGGATGTCACAAATTGTATACTCGAAAGTCCGAGTATAGTAAAACACAATTTGTGATGTGATCAAAATATATCGTTCACAATCGATACATAAAGTTGGACACTTTATGTTGATAAGATTACATTGTTATTATTGAAATTTGTCTAGATTTGAGAATAAAAACAATAATGTATTTTGTTGCACATTAAATGGGATCGCGTAGAAGACTCATTTGTGACCTCTCGAAATGAGACCCTATTCGATTATCAAACGAGTCATCTAAATCCTGAGCGAGTATTGTACCTTTAATTGCTAGTTTAAGTTTATTGATGTACCAATAAGTGAAGTCTTATTTAGAATATTGATCCCGATGCTTTGTTATATCTGCTAATTTTCCTATTAAGAGTTCTTCGATTGTGCTACAGGTACATAATGACTTACATAATGATATACATATATACATGATGCTGTGAGATATGATTGGATCAGAATTTCCTCGACCAAATAAAAAAGAAAACTTACCCATAATCTTTTTGACATATCATCTTACGTAAATCATTATGTTACTTAATTATGTACAAGTAGCATTATTCAAAATTCTTTAGGTCATGCTTGATCAAAATGGAGCCAGTAAGGGTGCAGATTTTGTGGCCTTTTCCGCCCCAAAAGAAGCTATGAAAGCTGTATGATAACATTCTACTTTTGCTTTTCGATTTCAAAGTTCTCATTCTTTCTTCGCATACAAGGTTTATCTAGTTTTTTTTTTTTTTTTACAGAATCTCAAGCACATTTTGTTCAATTTATCTTTCAGCTGAAAGAAATGAATGGTAAGATGACTGGGAGAAAACCTCGGTATGCTGCTGCTACTCAACGGAAAGAAGAAAGAAGGGCTTGTCTGTAAGTGAATTTACTGCTTTGCCTAGCGGTGGCAAAAAAGCTCGGGGGCTCGAGCTCGGCTAGGGAAAAGCTCGAGCCGAGGCTCGGGCCGAGCCCCATTTGGGGGCACCGAGCCGAGCCCGGGCCGACCCGTGTGGCTCGCCGAGCCCGGGCCGACCTGTGTCACGAGCCAATTTTGGCCCGTGCCCACCAAGAAAAAAAAATAATAAAAAAAATAAAAAAACTTAAACTGCCTGCACACAGATGGCGTGCACGGTACAACAAAATTTAAATTGAATTGTCTTATAAAAAATTTGAATTTATAAATTAAATATAGTTAAA